CAATCAGAACGGGAACTCATCGCTCTCAGCCACCTGGAGCAGCTTGGGTTGAGAATCAATTTAGCCAAGAGCTTTTTGTCTCCCAGCCACCAAGTAGTATTTCTGGGGACAGTTATTGATTCTGTCTGAATGAAGACACGGATTACGCCAGAATGCTCCCTGACTGTTCAGCGGCTAGCGGCATCATTCAAACTGAGGACTTCACATCCCCTCAGGGCTTTCCAGAAGACGCTCGGCCTCATGTCGGCCGCTTCCTCTGTGCTTCTTCTGGGCCTGCTTCACATGCGGCCCCAGTATTGGCTCAAAGCCCATGTCCCATCCCGCGCATGGCACCTAGGACGTTTTCATCTCAGGGTAACCCACCGCTGCATCAGAGCTGTGGCCCCTTGGAAATCTCCTCGCCTGTTTCAATCAGGCGTCACGTTGGGACTGACATCCAGAAGGAAGGTGGTCACGACAGATGCCTCCAACTCAGATTGGGGAACTCTGTACAAGGGCAGACCGGCGTTCGGCTCCTGGTCAAACCTGGAGCAATGCTTACACATCAACTGCCTTGAGATGATGGCAGTTTTTCTAGCCCTGAATACTTTCCAGCTGGCATTAAGGGGGCACTCTAGTCCATTCGGACAAAATGACGGTGGTAGCCTTTATCAATCACCAAGGCGGTCTCAGGTCATGCTCCCTTCACAGGTTGGCTCGATGCCTCCTTTTATGGGCACAATGCAAACTCCTCTCACTGAGAGCAGTTCATGTGCCGGGCAGACTGCACCAAGGGGTAAACATGCTGTCCAGGGGCAATGTGGCTCCAGGAGAATGGAGACTACATCCCCAAATGGTTCAAAAGATCTGGGGCCTCATGTATCAACTCTGCGTACGCACAAAAACTTTGCGTACGCCAGCTTTCATTCACTGCCCAATTTACTTTTCGAAACAACGAGATGCCCTGGCCCACGATTGGCACAGCGCTCGCCTGTATGCCTTCCCCCAGCTGCCCTGCTTCCTCAGGTCATCAGACAGGTCAGGGAAGTAAGATGCTCGGTCCTCTTGGTGGTTCCCCGAGTTGATTCAGATGCTATTGGCAGCCCCCTGGCCGATAACACTTAAGACGGACCTTCTCTCACAAGCAAAGGGCAATTGGCATTCCCAGCCAGAGCTGTGGAGCCTTCATGGTTGGCCCCTCGACGGGAGTCTTTGCAGCTCCCTGTGAGTGTAACTGATACCAATGTGGAGGCTAGAGCCCTGTCTACAAGACGTCTGTATGCCCTTAAATGGTCAGTCTTCTCTGACTGGTGTGCAGTGTGGTACGAGGACCCGTCCTCTTGTGACGTGTTTTACGTGCTAACTTTTCTACAAGAGCTGCTGGATAAGGGGCGCACCCCTTCCACACTCAAAGTATATGTGGCAGCCATCATGCCGAATCATTCTCTCGTGGCTGGCCAGTCAATCGGCAGAAACGACCAAGTCATTAAGTTTGAGCCCCTTTTGACGGGTTGAAGCACAATTGGTTCGTGCAGCTTCACGAACGTGAACAAATCAGGTGTCAGTATCAGAGCAAACAGGAGTTTCCCCATATGTGTCAGCAACACGCCGCTTGTTCCCTTATCTCAGGGAACCGAGGTTACGTTAGTAACCAGAGCGTTTCCAAACATTTTCATGCCAAGTCTCACCTAGAAAAAGGGTTGGTGTATACTGACTTCTTGGACAATTGATAAAATTTCCAAGATTTTTACATGAATGAATTCATAACATGAGTCAGACTGGTACACTAGAATATAGTGTACCAGTAGTACACTAATAGTAGTGTTTTAAATTGATTAAATAAAATGTGGACTGTATATGAGGATGTTAACTGTGAAAGGATGATTGACAAGTCATTTTACGGTAAAGAAAAATTACCTAAAACCAAGTTCACAACTAAAATGTGGAATGTGTATAATGATGTTATCTGTGACAGGATGATTGACAAGTCAGTCTACGGTAATTAAAGATTCCTCAAAAATGAGTTCACGGCTAACTTTGAGACAAGCCATAGAGGATTAGCATTCTCATCTGAATTTTTCTTGTAAGTCGTACGAACACAAAGTTGATGACAAGTTGTAGAGGGGGTTGAGAAGCATCCATAGTTATCTGAGCTACTTTCTGTTAGGTAAATTATCTGAGCAATGGTGGGTGGAGTTAGTGAAAATATCCTTTATTAGCCCATTTAAATAAACACTCCCAAAAGTAAATGTCCGCACCCCCATCCCCCCGTGTTATGTACAGTGGTTTTTGCATTGTTACTCTTCCATGAAGTCCATTTGACTCTTTCCTATTGCCATAAACACTGACTAAAAAGGGCCGATCACACCAAGGACAATAAATATATTTTTAACAGTTTTATTAATGAATAGATTTATTAAGCTTTCTAATTCTTAACAGAATAGGGAAGTCCACACCACAAGTGTAACAATAACTACTCAGAGGAACAGTATCATTGTAATCACTTGTATTTATTTATTTTTATTTTTTCTTCCAGAAGATGAATTGACAATTGACATATATATAGTATATATATATATACATTAATTGACATATATATATAGTGTCATGGCCAAAAATATCGGCACCCTTGGTAAATATGATCAAAGAAGGCTGTGAAAATTAATCTGCATTGTTAATCCTTTTGATCTTTTATTTAAAAAATTCACAAAAATCTAACCTTTCATTGGATAATACAAATTTAAAATGGGGGGAAATATCATAGGTTAGATTTTTGTAATTTTTTTAAATAAAAGATCAAAGGGATTAACAATGCAGATTAATTTTTACAGCCTTCTTTGATCATATTTACCAGGGGTGCCGATATTTTTGGCCATGACTGTATATATATATATATATATATATATATGGGTAGCGCTGTACCTGTTGGGAAATCTTGGCCTTCCTAGAAGCTGGATAAACTTTAAACTAAAAGCCCCTGCCAACATCCTGGGACCACCCTGCTCAAGGCTTTTAGTAACTTAGCTTCTGTAGAACAGGGGGCATGACAGGTGCCTACCTAGCATGGGCTTTTTGGAGTTTGAAATGTTTTTTGGCATGCCATTTATGCATAGATTCTAAACTGCAACTCCAGCGCTGTGCCCGCAACCCCCCCACATGGACAGCTTGGAAATAAGAGTGCTTTTTTGGAATCCAATGAAACCTTTTACATCCCGACCTCAAACCTAAATCTAACAACAATATTCCTGAATCCAACAGATTCCTGTGCTTCATCACGAGATGAAGGGATTTTACAGGAGTGACCCAAGAGCTTTTCTTTCCAAAGAGCCTTTTTGGGCTTCACACACACCAGAACTGCTGCAGCTCAATGAAACTTGATAACACTGAAAGAGCTTCATCTCACAAATGTACTCCGATTTCAGGCCCTTGGCACACAGGGAAATCATTTTACAGGTCTGATGTGTCACGCAAGCATATCTGCGCTTTGACTTACCATCTTTAATAAGCTCTATGTATGTGCGTTGATAATGTTTATAGGCTATGTGAATAAAAGCCTAAATTAAAGTTGTACATCATAAAGCAACCATGTCATTTCATTTGTGCGTGAACCAAAGTCAGCTTTACAAACTCTCTGCAGATTTAAGGCTGCAGAGCTTTACTACACCACTTTTAAAATCAGAACATATTTTAAAACACTATAGGCATCATACACTGGCAAACTCTGAAAATGCCTCATTGCTTGGAGCCACACGACAAATTGACAAAAAACAATATGTGTTCTAAAATTTACTCAAAATATCAAACATGTCATGTCATCCTTCAACTGATGGAATAGTATGAGACTAAAAAACCCAAGTCTGTGCCCATCATTCACAACACAATTCATACACTATGTGCCCACAGGGCACAGAGCAAAGAAAAATTCCCCCAAAACGAGTTCACGGCTACCTTTGAGCCATACAGGTTTAGTTTTGGGAAGGTACAGGACTGAAAAGAAAAATGACACTGAAAGCTTTGGAGAACCCATGCTGTCTAGGAACACGGTGTACCGACGAAACATGCTACCTATCAGATTGTGCTACCAAAAATATATTTGCGTTGTTTTAAGGGTAAGTTTAGGGTAAGGTTAGGTATGGATGGGTCGGTTTAGGGTAGGGGTAGGTATGGACACATGAATATGATGCTGGTAGCACAATCTGATAGGTAGCATTTTTCGCTATCGAAAATGGGAGGTAGCACAATCTGAGTGGGTAGCACAAATCGTGAGATGGTCCTCACTGCAGAACACAAGATCCAGGGGGCGAGGTTGGATCCAGATCCAACTCCTCCCACCTTACATATACCTAAACCTACCCGTCTCCACCCCCTGATCCCTAAACCCACCGATCTCCACCCCCTAGATGTGGATCCAACCCCGCCCCCTGGATCTTGTGTTCTGCAGTGAGGGGCTAGGGCCTACTGCAAATTGTCAGAACAGGTGTACATTTACAAAATTAGGGGTGTCTAGAGGGGTCTCTGTCACAACAAGTTCCAGCCCATAGCATAAGGAGAAGAAACTTTAGAGGGAAAGGCACATAACATAGAGTTTTAGTCACAAAGGCTCAGTTAAAGTGTACAAAAATGCATGCCTCATGAAAAACTGTCTCATAAGTATTTCACATTCCAAGAAAAATTCCTTGTCCCAAAAAAGTTAATAATGGGCTGCAGGCTAAAATGCAAACTGCCAAGTTTTCTTGTCAGATTATTTTCTACTAAGTCCTGCGAACATGAAGCTAATGTCAAATTGTATTGTAAAGGGGGCCAAGGAGCAAAAATCACATCAGAAATATGTAAACACAAGGTATAGCCTATGCCCATCAACAAACATGCTTATTACATTTAATAACTTTTTTGTCATAACGCACCACTATTTTAAAACGTTTGACGAAAGCTAACGCTGACGAATGCCATTTATATACACACATACACACACACACACACACACACACACATACAATCACACACACACACACTCCCTACACGTCCTACCGGGGAACGGAAACTCGCTGTGGAGAAGTTGGCGCTGATCTATCCGGCCCATCTCCGCTGCTCTTCCTTTCGCGCCGGTAGCCGAAGAATCGAGCGTCCATGTGCGCAGCGCCCGGGACTTCATAGATCACTGAGCCTTCCGAATCCGAGCCAGACCGCGACCTTGTAATGGATATCAACTCTTTGATCGAGGCCCTTCGGGGCACGATGGACGCAAATTTGCGTGAGGCCGCAGAGAGACAACTGAACGAGGTAAAGTGATCGGATGATGGTGGTGCGCCTCGGGCCTTGCGCAGCAGGATGGTTGTAGCCGCTAGTAAATCTGTTAAAAATGTATTTTTGAAACCATTTTTGTTGGTGTGTAGCCCTTCAGTAACACATAATATGAGTTGACAATCTATTAAAGGGCGAAGATAATGTATTTGTTAACGTTCTGTAGCGCGCGCTAGCAGCTCGTGTCCCTGTACTACGTCACCGCGATAATGGTTCGCGCAAATGTGATGGTGTTAAACAGACGATACGGCGCTTAAATGTAACATGACTTTGAAAAGGTGGTTAGAATAGAAAAGTTTGTATACGTCTCTATGTTTTGAGGTCCAATTCTGATGCGTCTGAGCGTGTTGAAATTGTTTATTTTGGAGTGCGCGAATGTGCTAGCGCCTGAGATGCTAGGCGCTAGTCTCTCACGTGTCAACATGAGGCAGGAGGCTTGTTGTCATTTCTCTCTCTTCGTAAACCATTTAACCAATTTAACTCGCCAGAATATCCAATGATCATACTTAAGTTAAACCAACGCTACGACAGATTTTGATAGGTACTAATGTGTAAAATCGTTGTTTTGGCACTGTTTGGGCCCGTTACGTTACATTAGCGAGCTGCGTCAGTTTTAAAAGTACTGTGGTACAGTGATGTGTCAGATGGTGAGATCGGGATAATTGGATGAATATGTAACACTTAACTGCAATGTCTCATTTGTTAGCATTAGTTAATGCAGTAGCTGACACGAGCAATATATTTCATACGGAATTTATTCATCTTTGTTACAAAAAGTTGTTCATTCATGGTGTAAACATACAAGTTTTGATATGAAAATTGTGTTAGGAAATGTTGAAATTAACTTGTAAAGTTTTGAAGTATTGTTGTAAGTTCTTGTTAACTTATGTAATTAACTGATGTTAACAAATGAAACCTTATTGTAGTTAAGTGTTATCAGTATGTACGCAATACAAATTGTAGTTTACTTTTAGGAGACTGTTATTGACAATCATAATAGATGGTGGTTTTAGAAGTTCTGGTCGCTACTTTTAGCTTTTTTTGAGTATGTACTTTAGCTTAAGTAGATGTCGTTTTTTGTAAACATGGCAATAACTTGTTTGTTGGACATAGGCTATATGTTGACTTGGCTAATAACATGTTTTTTGTCCTATGATTTTCTTTGAAGTGCCAACCCAAAAAGGTCATATTATGCCATCGCTGTACCATGGTACCGCCACGGTACTTGTTTGTAAATGACCAATAACTTGTTAAAGCCAAAGTGTGTGATGTAAGGGTATTTTTATTGCAGAGTTGAGCAAATGTGTCATGAAATGTCATTTATTACAAAGTAGTTACAAAAATGCTGACTTTCCAAGAACAGGGTTGTGTACTATGAAGATTTAATTTTTCTTATTCACTGAAATTGAGTGTCTTTGTCATGTGTTCTTGTCTAAAGTAATAGCTGAGCTGGTGCTCTTGATTTCTGTGATATGTATTAGTTTGAGACCAGATATTTTTGGTAGCTGGCTTTTCAGTTTCCTTCACTAGGTCCGTTTTTGCTTCATATGTGCTTCATATGTTGCTTCAAATGGATATTTATTAGGTTGTTAGACAACTTATATTGTGTGGTATCTAGGAGTTTTAGGAGTAGTGTGAGACCAGCGAGTCTCATTTAGCGGTATTTTGTATATGGTAGTTGTTACCTGAGAAGCATGAGTAAGACAATACCTGAGAGACCAGCACATCGGTCTTTATGCAAGCCTTTTGTTTTTGGCCACTTTTGTGAAATTTGATGCACTTACTCTCATATATATATGAGAGAGCGGGCATGTTTTTCGATTACAAATTATATATATTTATTACATTTATTTATTGAAGAACATGAAATATATAATTTTAATCAAAAGTGTTTATAGTTAACAAAACATTTTCTTAGGGCCTAGCGTGAATTCTTTTGGCAAAATACTAAATTTAATTAGAGGAATCAATAAAAAAAGTATTTAATTTAGTAATTACCTTTAGTCTATTAACTTAATTGTCGTGCAGTTTGGGGGCCTAGGAGTCAAAAAGGTTGAGAACCCCTGAAGTCTAATGGCGCTTTTCCACTGCATGGTACGGCACGGTACGGCTCGGTACGGGTCACCTTTGGGGGGGTTTCCACTGGG